CGCGAGTGTGTACGGAAGGATACGGGGAATTTGTAGGAACAAATGAGATGATAATTGCTTTCATTGCGAATCAAACATTCAACTAGATTTTGCTTATCTCGCTTAACCGTTACCTACGTATTAACTTAAAGATGCTATTCGATTTGGAACAAATATTGATTCCTCTCGTGCAGGCATTAAGAACCGAGACGACTTGAGCCTCCAAGTGTTGGCAATAAAGTTAAATTAGTCTCTCTGGCTCGGGTAATCGCAAACATTTTACGAGCTACATTTGAAAGGACAGACGATTAACCGCCACTTTACAATAGATTTCTTTTAGCAATCTCTAAATTTTCACCTCTTTTCTTATTTTCTAATTTAAACCATTGCTTCGAGATAGCGTCGCATCACTTCAGTCATTTCATAGGAAAAAAAAAAAAAAAAGTATTTCATGAGACTTTTACGACAAGAAAATTACGTTTCGTTCCAAATTTTTCCGTTACCAAATTCAGCCTTCAAACGAAATTACACACCTCTGCGACATCAACCACTTTTGGCCAAAGTTTACTTCCGGCCGTAATGGTGGTGTTTTTTGATTGGTGGAAACAGCCTGGCTCGTTTCATGAAATGTCTTTGGACAATGGTTTGGGCCCGGGCGTGTTTACCTGGTCGAACCAAGGGCTGGAAAAAGGCAGAGAGGAACGGGGCCTCGGGTGTCGTACAGGGCAGATTAATGGTCCCCGAGAATTCTCGGTAGTCTATCCAAGAACTGGACTCTCGTTCTCTGTAGACAGGAGATCGGGGCACGCTGCGTAAACCAGAAACCACCCACACGATAGAAAATTTCATTGGAACTCCCATTTGGCGAAGAATGCATTTGAGAACTCGAGCGAGTCGCTCTAACTTCGAACACGGTGGTTATTTTATTCTAGTAACGCTTGACACCTATCACTCGTTGCTACTGACGTGTATTGTTTCAATATTAGAACCAACTAGGTATAGGTAAAATGATTGAACGAAAATGATTTACAAAGTTTTCTTAAAAGTGCGCGCAAAGTGTGTATCATTTTCCCTGGGAAATCTGTCTAATATACATATACTTTTCGTTGAAAAGATTCTTCATGTGTCTTTACGTGTTGAATAAAAATGTTTAAAGCATACAAAAAGAGAAGGATAGAATGAGATTTCGAAAAAAACTAAAAAAGCATAAAGTTCATTATTTCCTCACAATTCGTAAGCAGAATTTCTTTTCGCATTCATAATCGAAACATTGGTGGAATGTTCTTTCGATCGAGTCAAAGAGTATCGCAAGCACGTAGAATAGATGGGAAACGGTACCTAGCTAGTAACGAAGCCGTAACCGCGACCTAAGGAGTAGGAGAGACTCAGGTAACTCGGTACTTGCCACGCAGGTAGAGCTTGAGACAAGAGGTATCATTGTCCGAGTGGCAAGAGGCCCGAGACGAACCGTTTACAAAGCGCTGGAAATTCCAGGTATCCTCTATCGTTTAACGGAAAATAACAAAGTTTCCCTTGCTCTCACTCTCCCTGTTTCTTTCTCTAATCTTCCACTCCTCTCTTTCTCCCATTATCGAGAATTCAGCCGGATGTCTTGCGCATCAACCTCCTCGGGGTAATATCATTCCCCGCGGAAAACACCAACGACACCTATTTTCTCGTTTTGTTCCCCTCCCACTCGGCCAATTTCATCTACAACTTTAATCAAATTTGACGAATTTTCGCGGGGGAAACGATACGGAAGAAGCTTCTTCTCGAGATCTTTCGTCAGATTCCGATCGATCGGTTCTAATCTTGTGAGTTTTCAGCTTTTTGGTGAGGGAAATAATATAACAATTTATTGATCGCTTCGCGATTTTGGTTTTGTTGTTAGAGCTATCGCGTTATTGAAATTTCGGAGCCAGTCAAAAAATAAAAAAAAAAGAGGATCCTCGGAATCGATCGAATTTTTTCCAAACAAAGATTTTGTTCTACCTCGGTTCGAAAAGAAGAAGGAAGAAAGCAGCGCGGTTTTCGCACGCGCCGCGTGTCAAAGTGGTAGGCCATTCTTCTTCATCACGCCGTACAAATGCGTTCAACTTGACCCCGAGCCCGATAAATCGAATTTCTGGGCTTCTGGTCTGTGATCTTAGCCGAATGAATCCTACGCCAGTTCGTCTTCCGTTGGATCACACGAAAGTGAAACTGTTTTCCAATAATCCTCGATGAAGATACGATCCTCTGAACGACTTTTTCCAAACAAATTCAGCCACCACTTCACTCTATTTTTACGTTACGATAAGTATATAATAAATTATAATAATTAATTAATATTGTAACAACATATAATTATTAGATGGCGCGTGTATGCATTTTTATTTACGAATTATTTTCTTAAATTTGTTTCCCGCGCTGTTAAAATGCGCTTCCGTGCTCGAGAGTTCGAAAGTTTATTACACGGGATATTAGTGAATTTGTAGTACGTTGGAACAAGTGTTTCGATTTTGATTGATTACCGGAAAATAGAACTGCCTTTCGTATCGCAACAGTCCGTTCAATTTGTAACGTACGAACGAAACAACAAGCCAACCCAGGCGTCGATAACAATTTTTCCACATTTCCCTCCAACCAATCCTCAAATACACAATTTCCTTTTTTTTTTTTTTTTTTTTTTTT